AGGTACTGCTGCTGCTGTGAAAAAAAACACGAAAATATCAAAGCAATCAAATCACAATTGAAATCAAAAGCATATTAAAAGATTTTTAAGTAATCATGTCAGATGACCTTACTGCTTTAAAACAATAAAATAGCTGTCACAACTGCAAGAAAAATGACAGGTTGGATAACAAGAACCTTTCAAACAATAGACACTAGATCAGTGATATTTTCAATACTAGCTCTCTAGGGTATATTATTATTGCACAGTAACCGCGCCATTCAAAGCTGGAGAAATTATTGACCTGGAGAACGTGCAGAGATCTTTTACTGTCGAATCCATTCAATAAACCATCTAAATTATTGGGTATGTTTAAAATTTATCAAACTACCCTGTAGAGCGCAGGTAAGAACGACATAATTATACATAATTGGAGCTTGAAAAATGCTGGACTGGTTCAAAATCTGCACATGGAAATGACTCATTAGACCATAAGGCATGGCAGGAAGCAACCCGTTCTCGCAAATTCGTAAAGTCAATATTGACTTATTAACTACGTGCATAGGTGATATACTAAACATAATAGATACCCTTAAAAAGATTCATAGAAAACACCAACCTTACCTAACCTTGTTAGTATCTTAAGATAACCATCTAATTGCTTCGTAATTACAATTATTACTTAACCTATACCTATTATAGGTTAGGTAATAATTGTAATTACGAAGCAATAAGATGCTTATCTTAACATACTAAGTAGGTTAGGTAAGGTCGGTGTTTTCTATGAATCTTTTTAAGGGTATCTATTATGTTGAGTATGTCACCTATGCACATATTTAATAAGTCAATATTGACTTATTAAATTTGCGAGAACGGGTTGCAGGAAGTGCAGAACAACATTTTTTATTTATATATACTGTACAAGAATTCTTACATTCATGTACAGCCACTAGCACGCATAGCGTTTTAGGCAAGTAACGCGCGCGCGCGCACACTCGCTCACATTCTCTCTCTCTCTCTGTCTCTCTCTCTCTGTCGCTCTCTCTCTGTCTCTCTCTCTCTGTCGCTCTCTCTCTGTCTCTCTCTCTCTGTCGCTCTCTCTCTGTCTCTCTCTCTCTGTCGCTCTCTCTCTGTCGCTCTCTCTCTCTCTCTCTCTCTCTCTCTCTCTCTCTCTCTCTCTCTCTCTGTGTCCTCTCTGTGTCCTCTCTCTCTGTGTCCTCTCTCTCTGTGTCCTCTCTCTCTGTGTCCTCTCTCTCTGTGTCCTCTCTCTCTGTGTCCTCTCTGTGTCCTCTCTCTCTCTCTCTCTCTCTCTCTCTCTCTCTCTCTCTCTCTCTCTCTCTCTCTCTCTCTCTCTCTCTCTCTCTCTCTCTCTCTCTCTCTCTCTCTCTCTCTCTCTCTCTCTCGCTCTCTCTCGCTCTCGCTCTCGCGCTGGCTCGCTTACGCGCGCGCGCGCGCACACACATACATTTAGAAACTTGTGTAAGAAATCTTTCAGAACATTGTATACCACATATGTCAGACCAATCCTGAAGTATGCGGCTCCAGCATGGAGACCATATCTAGTCAAGCATAAGACTAAACTGGAAGAGGTTCAAAGGTTTGCCACCAGACTAGTACCCGAACTGAGGGGTATGAGCTACGAGGAGAGAATACGGGAATTAAACCTCACGTCATTCAGAGACAAGAGTTAGAGGGAACATGATCACCATATATAAGATTCTCAGAAGAATTGATACGGTAGATAGACAGAATATATAATATATATATATATATATATATATATATATATATATATATAATGTCGTACCTAATAGCCAGAACGCACTTCTCAGCCTACTATGCAAGGCCCGATTTGCCTAATAAGCCAAGTTTTCATGAATTAATATATTTTCTCTAATTTTTTGCTTATGAAATGATAAAGCTACCCATTTCATTATGTATGAGGTCAATTTTTTTTTATTGGAGTTAAAATTAACGTAGATATATGACCGAACCTAACCAACCCTACCTAACCTAACCTATCTTTATAGGTTAGGTAGCCGAAAAAGTTAGGTTAGGTTAGGTAGGTTAGGTAGTCGAAAAACAATTATTTCATGAAAACTTGGCTTATTAGGCAAATCGGGCCTTGCATAGTAGGCTGAGAAGTGCGTTCTGGCTACTAGGTACGACATATATATAATATATATACACACACATACACACACCTCCAGGAAGCAGCCCGTAGCAGCTGTCTAACTCCCAGGTACCTATTTACTACTAGGTGAACAAGGGAAACAGGGTGAAAGAAACTGCCCATATGTTTCCGCCTCCACCGGGGATCGAACTCGGACCCGTTAGGACTAGGAACCCCGAGCACTGGCCACTCAGCCGTCAGGCCCCCATGAGTGCAATAGGTACAATTTCCAGAAGGGCAATATTCAACAGTCAATGTAAACATAGAGGGAGTAACTGTCCGAACTCTCATGTTGTTCAAAAGAGAACTTGATAAGATGCTACACAGGATACTTGGATCAACCTCAGGCTGCGCGTCACAATACCGCCCATCCTCTTGTCTTGGTAGTACTTATAGTAACGATGATTGATGGAGATTAAACCACCCAAAAGGTGGCACGGGCATGAATAGCCCGTAAGTGGTGGCCCTTTTGAGCCATTACCAGTATCAATAGATGCAACCCGTTCTCGCAAATTTAATAAGTCAATATTGACTTATTAAATATGTGCATAGGTGACATAACATAATAGTTTCCCTTGAAAAGCTTCATAGAAAACACCGACCTTACCTAACCTACTTAGTATGTTAAGATAAGCATCTTATTGCTTCGTAATTACAATTATTACCTAACCTATACCTATAATAGGTTAAGTAACAATTGTAATTACGAAGCTATAAGATGCTTATTTTAACATACTAAGTAGGTTAAGTAAGGTCGGTGTTTTCTATGAAGCTTTTCAAGGGAAACTATTATGTTTACTATGTCACCTATGCACGCAACTAATAAGTCAATATTGACTTATTAAATTTGCGAGAACGGGTTGATAGATGATACTGGAGATCTGTGGAGGTGCGACTGCACCCTGCGTGACGGGAGATGTCTCCCGTTAGAAATGATGAGGGCCATAGTATATATACACCGGCCTACAACGAAATTATAACGGAGAAATCTGAACTATTGAGTTGGACAAATCGGAAAATTATTGTTTACTTGTGTTGCTTTGGAAAACTATATTAACCTTCTTAGGCCTAATTCACGATATCTGAGGGCTAATATAGTACATATGCGGGCTATACGAGGCAACATTTAAGTTTCCATTAATGTTTGTTTATTTTCAGGTTATCATTATGTATTATTAGTATCATCTTAACTCTTGTGGGTGTGATGAGATCTGCCATATATGTTTATTTTAGTTTGTGTTTGTTAGGGTATTAGGTATGCTTAGGGGTGCCGTCTCGCCATGCCCTGTGGCTGGCGGGATCGGTGCCCTGAAGCTACATGAAAACCCTATACCCCCCCCCCCCCGAAGTGGCAAGGGGTGTTAGGGGACAAAAAAAAATTGTTTTTTTAGCTTCATTTATTTGAGCAGATTTGTTTACTAGTCAGTATACTACTATGTAAAAGGTAAGAATGTAGGGATTGTGACTATTAACGACGGTCACAGTAGGTAGTGTCTAAACAGGAGGATGGGTTGCAGTATGCGGGCATTGCATCTATAACATCCTGGTTAATAAGACCACCAACTAGCAAGCTTAGTCAGCGACCGGGATGCAGGAATATACTGTATTTTGTCAATAAAGATGTTAATAACACTTAAGTGTTGCCGATAAAACTGATGCTTGGGGTACCAGTCAAGCTAAACAAATATATTATTGTACGTACATGGAAGTAAATCACAGCAACGCCAATAACTAAAAATAGCTAATTTTAATTAACAGATTATTCCACTCACATCGCAGGTGAAGTTGTTTCAGTACTGTGTACGCTGAGCTGTGAGCTCTGGCTATGTATATTCCAGCCCTGGTTGGCTCGAATGTGTATGTGTATATATATATATATATATATATATATATATATATATACATATATATATATATATATATATATATATATATATATATATATATATATATATATATATATATATATATATATATGTAATATTACACAGCACTGTACCACGTTCTACTGCTGGAAAGGGTTTGTTTTGTGCTCTCTTTTAATGAGGTCGTGAGTGGTGTTCGTTGTGTTATAGTGTATGATGAGAAAACATAGACAACACCATCTCCATGTTGACAATCGTACTCTCGTTTTACTCCTTTTTCCTCTCCGTGTTACAGTCGCAGGAGACTGGCTTCTCTCATGTGTGAGCTGACTTCCTGCTTCTATGTTCATTGTGTGTGTGTGTGTGTGAAAAGGGGGGCGTTCAATCCAAGAACAACCTCTATTAAGCATAGGCTGATTTTTTTTTTGGTGAGGGGGGGGCAATGAGGAGGGGCTACTGGTTTGGTGAGAAAGATGAGGAAGAAAGGGGAGAAGGGGAAGGTGAGATGCAAGGAAATTAGAGGGAGTTTGAGGACGGCGAAGGGGTTATGGGAAGTGAAAGGGAAGGTAAGAGAGAGAGAGAAAGAGAGGGGGAGTGGAAGAGAGGGACCGGTGGCAGAAAGGGGTGGGCAGTTGGGGGGGAAGGAGTGGTTGAGAGCGTGTAAACCTGGCCTTTGTCAAGCCGCCCTCGGTGTGTCTCCGTGTGTGTGGTGGTGTTTAGTAGCAGTTTGGGTGTTGGTAGTTAGGGTCGCCGTAGTTGTGGTAGCCCTGTTTGGGTAGTGGAAGGTGGGGGTGGTGGTTGTGGCAAGTGGGGAGTGAGTTGTAGCCAAAAGTATGAGTAGTCATAATATATGAATGGGTAGGTATGGATGTAGAGAGAAGGTAGTGGTAGTAATAGTGGGAGTGTTAGAGAAGGCTGAGTGGAGGAGACAAGACACGGGCGCAGGCACACCAGATCAATAGGCACTAATACCCCCACTGCCTCTACTCTTGCTCCTGCTCCTGCTGCTGCTGCTCATGTGTTCCCCTCTTGTTCCACCTGCTGATGCTCCTCTTCCTCCTTGTTCCACCTGCTGATGCTCCTCTTCCTCCTTGTTCCACCTGCTGATGCTCCTCTTCCTCCTTGTTCCACCTGCTGATGCTCCTCTTCCTCCTTGTTCCACCTGCTGATGCTCCTCTTCCTCCTTGTTCCACCTGCTGATGCTCCTCTTCCTCCTTGTTCCACCTGCTGATGCTCCTCTTCCTCCTTGTTCCACCTGCTGATGCTCCTCTTCCTCCTTGTTCCACCTGCTGATGCTCCTCTTCCTCCTTGTTCCACCTGCTGATGCTCCTCTTCCTCCTTGTTCCACCTGCTGATGCTCCTGTTATTCCTTTTCTGATGACAATGATGATAGTCTACTGTTCTTACTTCTGATGCTACTGATTCATATTGATGATGATGATGTTTCTGTTGCTGCTCATGCTGATGTTACTGATGTTCATGACCTGTTCTTATTTCTGCTGATGTTCCTTCTGCTGATTTGACTGCTCTGACTACTGTTGCTCCTGCTACTGCTATTGTTTTTGTTGCTTCTCCTTGTTTCTGCCCATGTCACCCCTTTATATCTCCTACTGCTCCCACCCTCCTCCCCCTCCCTCCCTACCTCTCCCACCAGCCCCCTCCTGCTGGTGCAGCTCGCCCCCTCTCTGCAAACACTGAGGTGCTCATCGTCATTGTTCCCCTACAGAAAGTTAAGTTATAATCAACACGAGGCTTTAAAGTATTACCAGTAATGCTTTAAGGAGAGGGACGGGAGACTATAGTGTACATGGTTCAGTGTTTCTCCTCCTGCATAGGCTCGCTCTCGATGCTTGGGTGATCGTTGAATGGCTCAATGATTTCTTTATACCTGATTAGTTTAGAGAGTTGCTTCGGTCTTGCTGTCAGAGCTCTTATTGAGATCAGGCTTATTGCTACTCGCAGGCCCACATTCAAGTATTATTTATTCATTAAATGTTGTTCATTATTGGCAGTTTTATAATATGTTCCTTGATTGAGGGACGGCGACAGTTGAGGGCTGGGATGCGCCCAGGCACCCCGACTGTGGTTCCTGTACTCACCTATTTGTGCTTGTGGAGGTTGAGCTTTGGCTCTTTGGTTCCGCCTCAGTTGTGCAGTTTTCTCAACTTCCTCTCGGTGACAGGAGCTCATGTTGGTCTTTGATATTGATACATATTGAGTAAAATAATGAAATGTCAACTATTAACTTTAGAAAAATTGTCTTTCAATGCAATTATCCTACAGCGATTATCCAGTCATCCTCGGGGCATGTGTGGTGGAAAGAAGAGTGGAGGAAACTTGCTAAGTTTTACTTACTGATTTTATTGATTCAGGGTATTACATGTTATCCTTACATACAGATAACAAGATTGAAAGGCAATTCCATTTTTGTCTATAAATTTGTTAAATGGATGCTCGCAGCCACTTTTTCCCTTCCACATTTAATTTTATGTTTTTAGCATCTTTCCTTCCATTTCATTCCCTTCCCTAGCTTCTTTCTCTTTTGTTATCACAGTCCTCCTTTATTAGTTTTCCTTAGTTCTTCCTTTCATTCCCTTCCTTTTTACTTCTTCCTCCTTTCTCTTTATCTCTTGGCTTCTTCCTCTATGTTATTTACCTCTACCCCTCTACTACTTTTTCTGTTCCTTTACCATTCCTTTATCTTCACATGTAGACATGAGTTTCAAAATGGAAACTACATATAAAACTCATTCACATCACACAATTGAAAGAAAGAACACTTTAAAAGATTTGGGAGTAATTAAGTCATAAGACCCTAGTTTTAGAGAGCACAATAAAGTAGCTGTCACAACTGCAAGAAAAGGTACAGATTCAATAACAAGAATCTTTCAAGCAAGAGATGCCGCCCCAATTTTTTTTAAGACACTAGTTCTCTCTAGGTGGAATATTGTTGCACACTTACAGCTCCATTCACAGCTGTATAAATTGTTGACCTGGAGGACATGCAAAGGACTTTCATTGCATGAATCCACTCGGTAAAAAATCTAGGTTATTGGGACTGCTTAAACATTTTAAATTTGTATTCTCTAAGAGTGCAGGTGAGAGACATACACCTGGAAAATATTAGAGGGACGGGTTCCAAATCTACACATGGAAATTAAGCCTCACGAGACCAGGAGGCATGGTTAGAAGTACAAAATATTCCTGTTGAAAAACAGGGGTGCAGTAGGTATACTGAAAGATCATTCTATCAGCATTAAGGGCACATGGCATAGTAATAATAGCCTCATTAAATTCAAGTTGCTGTTTGATTGTTTTTTCTGCTTATTTTGTCCAGGTCACGCTTATCGAAGCAGCTTACCATCATCCTCTAACATGTTACTTTTATTCAGTTGGAAATCTCTTAGCGAGACTTAAAATGCATTTTCTCGATGGCTCTCTTTGGTCCTATAATAAAGAGGGGTAAATTTCTTATGCATGACCTAGTCCGAAAATCCTGCTGCCTGTTTACAATCATGTCATTTCTTTCGAGATATTGTTGAGGACTTGTGACGCTGCATTTTTGGCGGGAAAATTTCAGTCTGAAAACAGCATTTTATTTACCCTATTCCATGTCTATGAGTTTCCTGTCTGTAATGTTTTCTGGAAAACTGTGTTTGAAAGTGGGTGAATAATATGATGCAGGTGATGAAGTGTTGCACGTTAAGTGATCCGTGCAGCACTTGGGTTCGTGGTCCACGGCTCCACCTGATGCCACTCGAGGCCTCGTTGAAATACCTGCTGGCTGGTGCGGGGGAAGGGCCGTGTCTCTCTCTCTCTCCATCTCTTCGTTTTTGGTCTCTTCTTTTCAGTTTTGTGTGTCTTTTTTCAGTCGGGTTATATGTCGTCTTTGATTCGTGTTTTTGTCGCTGGAAGGGGGAAGGGAAGAAGGTGGGAGCCAAGGTAAAAAGAAGTAAGTTGGCTGTCAGAAGAGAGAGGGTACCACACGATTGTAGTTTGTTTAATTGTGCCAGCGAGGGTTGAATTTCTGCTCTCTGGTCCTGCTTCTCAACCTTCACTCACTGGCGTATGGTTTCCATCGCCTATTGACCTCTTGTCATGTCTACATTTGAAGATGGCCATAGAGTTTAGCCTACACCTCTAAATTATACTCTATTTAGTATGTATAATACATTTGTTCACTATTGATATGAACAAATTCAGGGGTACTAAGCTCACGCCTGCGTCATCTGGTTCGAATACCATCAATTGCAAATAATGTCTTCACCAGCCCTTTCTATTCCCCTAAGAATTTTGTACGTGAAAATCATGTCTCACCTTGTCTGTCTTCCGGTGACCTGAGCTAAATATTGTTCTTTAGTCTTTCCTAATGACTAATCACTCGCCCCAAGTGCTAGTCTACTGGCATACCTCTGGATATTATCTAGCTGCTTGTGTATATAACGAGATAAGGATTGCAAGCTGTGGCCCAATAATACGAAATAGGTGCGGCATGTTGTATACAGGCATCTAAATGACTGAAGCTTTCTAAACGCTGTTCTTATTCGCCGACATTGTATATACCGCTGGTGATGTGTAACTGGGGGGAGGTGGTTGGGAGAGGAGGGAGAAGGGGAGTACAACTGAGGGAGGGAGAAGGGTAATGCAACTGAGGGGAGGTGGTTGACAGGGGAGAGAGATGGGTAGGGTAACTGGGGGGAGGTGGTTGGGAGAGGAGGGAGAAGGGTGGGAGAGGAGGATGTGAGGGGGACAGTGAAAGAGGTGGTAAGACGGCAGGTGTGTGGGTGCTCACGGACTATGTTTATGGTTTATCTGAAGCAGTTTTCGAGAGTCATTCAACACCCCAAGCCTAGCCTGGTCCCAGTTTTTTCTGTGCAGGATTAGACGTTGATTTATTGCTTGTAGTTGTTTAGAATTGGTGCCCAGTGAACCATCCCTTTTCAGGGCTAGGGTGCTACTGCTTGTGGCAAGTTGTTTGGTTATATTGTGGCTTCCAGGGGGCGCGCAGGCTCATATGACCATTATAACCCAATAATTCGACATTTCCTGCAGTAATCTCTCTAATTGTCACTTGAAAACTTTCGCTGTTGTTCCATCAAATGTAAGAAATATTACTGGAAGAGGTTAAAGAGCCATGGACCTCCATGGATCACTGAGTGTTATCTGATTGTGCATAAGACACTTTTACCCTTCACTGGGTCTATTCTGAATTTCCTATCATATCATTCATTCTGGTAAGTTATTTTAGTGTATATGTTTTGTATCTGACCTCTGGGTACTTTCCTTGTAAAAATATTGATGTTTGACGTCTTCTTTCTAGAGTACATTTTTGAGTGCTTTGAGTGTGTCCCAATTATTAAGGCATTTTACTACATCTATGCATCCAGTGTAGTTCTCTGTAAATCTTCCATTTTAAAGAAGATGCAATTGAAGACGAGTACCGAACAGAACTCGAGACGGGAAAGTATAAGTGATTTGAAAAGTACCACTAGCAATTTGCTGAAACCACATACCACTAAGAAAAAGAGAAAATACAGTCAACACGGTGTAGTGGTAAAACTCTCGCTAAGAGCTTTGTCCTGAGTTCGTATCCTGGCTGGGAAGGATTTACTTTGCGCCAATCCTTAACTGTAGCCGCTGTTCACCCAGCAGTGAATGGGTACCTGGTTGTTAAACGATTCGGAGGGTCGTATTCCGGGGAAAATTACGATACTTGCCCGAAACGCTATGCATGCTAGTGGCTTTACAAGAATGTAAGAACTCTTGTATTCCCCCCCCCCCCCCCAACACCAACGATAATGGTGTTCCCTCTATAGGTGAAGACGACGACGACTAGAGGTGCGATGGGAGAGGGAGGGGGGGGGGAAGATGGCCAGAGGTGCGAAGAGGGGGGGTGTAGGGGGGGAAGGATGGCCAGAGGTGCGAAGAGGGAGGTGTGGGGGGGAGGGGGGCGGCGAGAAGTGCCAAAGGGGGAGGGGGGGGGGAGCGAGAGGTGTGCGCGCGCGCGTCTGAGTAGGGCCTAAGAGCGAGAGTGGGGGGCCCATTCATTGATCAAGAGGAGTGGGTGTGTGAGGGGTTATGGCCACCACATCTTGTCTACCTGGCTGGCGATGCCTTCTGTGAGGGCGAGAGTTGTCTCACACCCACACTCCCAGACACGCCCTCCCCACTCTCCGACACGCCCTCCCCCACTTTCCGACACGCCCTCCCCCACTTTCCGACACGCCCTCCCCCACTTTCCGACACGCCCTCCCCCACTTTCCGACACGCCCTCCCCCACTTTCCGACACGCCCTCCCCCACTCTCCGACACGCCCTCCCCCACTCTCCGACACGCCCTCCCCCACTCTCCGACACGCCCTCCCCCACTCTCCGACACGCCCTCCCCCCACTCTCCGACACGCCCTCCCCCACTCTCCGACACGCCCTCCCCCACTCTCCGACACGCCCTCCCCCACTCTCCGACACGCCCTCCCCCACTCTCCGACACGCCCTCCCCCACTCTCCGACACGCCCTCCCCCACTCCGACACGCCCTCCCCCACTCTCCGACACGCCCTCCCCCACTCTCCGACACGCCCTCCCCCACTCTCCGACACGCCCTCCCCCACTCTCCGACACGCCCTCCCCCACTCTCCGACACGCCCTCCCCCACTCTCCGACACGCCCTCCCCCACTCTCCGACACGCCCTCCCCCACTCTCCGACACGCCCTCCCCCACTCTCCGACACGCCCTCCCCACGCCTCTCCGACACGCCCTCCCCCACTCTCCGACACGCCCTCCCCCACTCTCCGACACGCCCTCCCCCACTCTCCGACACGCCCTCCCCCACTCTCCGACACGCCCTCCCCCACTCTCCGACACGCCCTCCCCCACTCTCCGACACGCCCTCCCCCACTCTCCGACACGCCCTCCCCCACTCTCCGACACGCCCTCCCCCACTCTCCGACACGCCCTCCCCCACTCTCCGACACGCCCTCCCCCACTCTCCGACACGCCCTCCCCCACTCTCCGACACGCCCTCCCCCACTCTCCGACACGCCCTCCCCCACTCTCCGACACGCCCTCCCCCACTCTCCGACACGCCCTCCCCCACTCTCCGACACGCCCTCCGACGTGCCCTCCGACGCGCCCTCCGACGTGCCCTCCGACGTGCCCTCCGACACGCCCTCCGACATGCCCTCCGACACGCCCTCCGACACGCCCTCCGACACGCCCTCTGACACGCCCTCCAACACGCCCTCCGACACGCCCTCCGACACGCCCTCCGACATGCCCTCCAACATGCCCTCCGACACGCCCTCCGCCACACACTCTGACACGCCCTCCGCCACACACTCTGACACGCCCTTCGCCACCCACTCCTGCACGTCCTTCGCCACACTCCTACACACTCCGACACGCCCTTCACCACTCACTCCTACATGCCTTTTGCCACACACTCCTACACGCCCTTCACCATACACTCCTACACGCCCTTCACCATACACTCCTACACGCCCTTCACCATACACTCCTACACGCCCTTCACCATACACTCCTACACGCCCTTCACCATACACTCCTACACGCCCTTCACCATACACTCCTACACGCCCTCCGCCACTCCCTCCTACACGCCCTCCGCCACTCCCTCCTACACGCCCTCCGCCACTCCCTCCTACACGCCCTCCGCCACTCCCTCCCCCACGCACTCCGACACGCCCTCTGCCACGCACTCCGACACGCCCTCTGCCACGCACTCCTACAAGCCCTTCGCCACACACTCCTACAAGCCCTTCGCCACGCACTCCTACAAGCCCTTCGCCACGCACTCCTACACGCCCTTCGCCACGCACTCCTACACGCCCTTCACCACGCCCTTCACCACGCACTCCTACACGCCCTTCGCCACGCACTCCTACACGCCCTCCACCACACTCTTACACCCTTTCTCACCGGGCATATTTACCTGTACGTTGATCGCTGGGCAGCCCACGGACCTGGTATCGATTATATCCCGGTTAATCTATCACTTACCTCAGAAACTTGCCCAATTGCATTTTAAGAGCCATATGTTTTCAGGAAATACTTCTTATAATTAGTGGGAGGAGGGTGAAGAGCTGTGAACCTTTGGTGTTCAGGGTGATCTCTGACTATGATAGTGGCGCCACCAATCGTCACTATAGCTCTATTCTGCATTTACTCTCGTATCTTTGTCTTCAGTATGTTATTTCATTGTGCATTTTTGAGACCTGGCCTTCTGGTATCTTACATTAATACAAAATATAACTGGAACAATGGATGTAAATTGGATTATTTTAGAATGGATTCAGGAAAGAATGGGAAATGCTTGTTAGGAAATAGGATGGTTGATTAATGGAACAAATTACTGCCTAACATAATAGGTATGGGATCGGTGTATTGTTTCAAGCAAAATGGCTGCAGTAAGGATTTGCTCAAAATGTCATAAGAGAGTAGAAAATCTCTAATTGTAAGAGAGAGACCCTTGCGTAGGGAGAAATAGCAGTGCTATTGAGAGAGACCCCTCGTATAGGGAGATATAGCAGTGTATTATGTAAGAGAGAGACCCTTGTGTAGGGAGAAATAGCAGTGCTATTGAGAGAGACCCCTCGTATAGGGAGATATAGCAGTGCATTATGTAAGAGAGAGACCCTTGTGTAGGGAGAAATAGCAGTGCTATTGAGAGAGACCCCTCGTATAGGGAGATATAGCAGTGTATTATGTAAGAGAGAGACCCTTGTGTAGGGAGAAATAGCAGTGCTATTGAGAGACCCCTCGTATAGGGAGATATAGCAGTGTATTATGTAAGAGAGAGACCCTTGTGTAGGGAGAAATAACAGTGTTAAATGTTGAAAAAAACAGTCTGGAACTCTGACCCCTTTCAGATGCACAGAGCATCATCTCAGCAGGAAAATGTAATTTAAAAAAGAAAACCCAATGTAAACAAAAGGGATAAAATGGGTAAGAAAAAGCAGATTCAATGCAAGAAAATATAGAGAAACAACAGTGTTAAATGTAGACAAACAGCCTGGAGCATTATAAGACATATAAAAGAAGTATTGGGATGACATGTATAGGGAGGGGACATTATTGGAACCAGGCAGACAGGGACATGTACAAGCCCCTATCAGTAACTTGGGAGGAGGAGGCAGTGACAACCAGACCTGTGTTGTGGATGGTCTCCAACAAACACAATAAGTGCAGTATTATAGAGGTTTATAGCGGTGCTTCCCCCCTTTTCTTTATGAGTTAGGGATAGGAATTTGTGGAAATAAGGAGTTTTGAAACCCTGTGTGTAGGGAGAGTGGGGTGTTGTCAATTCAGGTGTATGTGCTCAGCTGTGTGTCACATGGGAAGGTTATCCACATTTATTTTGTATATTCATTTGTAAACCCAGGTCCTTTGTAGTGACCTATGAGGAGTGGAATAGAGTAATGACTTAAGTCCCAGGTTGTAGAGGGAGAATGACACTCCCCCCCCCCCCCTTTTTGTCTAAGTAACCCCCAAGTAAAAGTACTTGGATCCAAGTAACCCCCCCCCCCCCCTCTCTGTTCTAAGAAGTGTGAGGAAATCTGGTATTTGTTAAATAAAATCCTTTTGTAAAATTGTACCCCAAGGTGTATTTCTTGGCCCATGTAGTTAGAACTGGTGACTATTACTATATAGAACCCTGCACTTCCATTATTTATAAGAAAGTAAGAGCGTGTGTTGTTAGCGATACTTAGGATATAGCTTTCAATCTCGTACCTTACATAATGTCTTCAATGTCAAAGGATACCTAATTAATTAGGCTGTGCTTCACACGTCTGCTCGTGTGCAGCTGCGTCCAACAGCCTGGTTGAGCAGACCACCAATCAGGAGGCCTTGTCAGAGACTAGGCTACTGGGACGTTTATCCATGATATCAAAAACAGGTAGGTAGACATGCACAGTAAATGTGCCAATATGACAAATAACTCATGAAAAAATAGATTGAGCAGCCACTGTAGTGGGTTTATGACCAGGAAAATAAAATCTTGAAGATGATTGCAGTTCTTATTGCACTCCTGCAGAGAGGACAGAGAAACTCTCCGAAATGCCTGTTCAGAAATCTCCTTAGCATGCAAACAAATTGTACCTGGTACTTGGGTAGAAAGGGGTGTCTTCTTTTGATAATTACTTGTTATAGATATCATTAATGGTTTGTCAATATGATTGCAGGTGTCATTAGCGATTATGAGGATTATTAAGAACTTTTAAATGCTTGGAATGTGGAATAGCTAAGGGATAATTTAAGTGTCTGCCAGATATCTCTAATGTGACTGCTACAAGGCAAATGTGTTTGTAACCCAAACTGAAACTTACACAAGGATTCTACGATAGTCAAATACTGTGTGGCTACCGGTATACTACCGGTATACCAAATACTGTGGCGGGAGCCTGTCGGCCTAGCGGACAGCACGCTGGACTTGTGATCCTGTGGTCCCGGGTTCGATCCCGGGCACCGGCGAGAAACAATGGGCAGAGTTTCTTTCACCCTATGCCCCTGTTACCTAGCAGTAAAATAGGTACCTGGGTGTTAGTCAGCTGTCACGGGCTGCTTTGGGGGGGGGGGGGGGGGGTAGAGGCCTGGTCGAGGACCGGGCCGCGGGGACACTAAAAAGCCCTGAAATCAACTCAAGATAACCTCAAGATAACCTACCCTGGATGCGGCAGGAAATAGATGCGACAAGAAACACAGGCTGGATGGGGTCAGCCTGTACATCAAAGACACACTCGCGTACACTGAGCTGCAATTCAATTTCTTTCTTTATTATGCACCCCATACCCATCCCGTGGGTGGTGGTGTAAAGGATTACAGAGGCTGAGCTGCTAACACACAAATGATATTGTAGAAGTAATCAAAATAGAAATTCTAAATGTGATGGTTCTTTTATATAAATCCCCAGATGCAAATCCTCAGCACTTTAAAAACTAATTTATGAAAATAAAATACTGCTTAGAAAACTGCACAAACCCCGCCCTAAACATCATTTTGCTTTGTGACAACTTTCAGCACCTATAATGGAAAAATGTGGCAAGTACAGTTATACCAGAGAGAGAATCCTAGGAAGCAGTCAAAATGAAGCCACACACAAATGACCTCTTGCAAATGTGTGACAGATTTGCTTTAAACCAAATAATAGTAAATCAGAAAACAACCTAGATCATAGTTTTACAAACAATGATGAACTGATAAGGGACATAGCGATTACAAATACAGTACAATACATGTTACTCGGATAATAACATAACTAAAGTCCAGTCATGCATGGGCAATAGACCTGTACAGCCAGTCTTAAATCTAAGAGAAGAATTCAGCAAATTCAATTTAAATAACAAATTGATTAACAAGGAACAAATAAACCAAGACATCATAGAAATATGCGGGGAAAGACGGCTAGATAATGCAAACTTAATCCAGTGCTTTGAGAAAATAGGCACAGTAGCAGTACAAATATGAACAAGTCATATACCACAAGAGAAAAAGATACAAACTGGAGCAAGAATGGCATTCCCCTCCATAGGCAAAGAAAACAAATCGCAGAACATCTCATATTCTCCACTCTATACAAAGAATGATAAAGCAGGATATATAGAGAAATAGAAATGACCTTGATATGCTTCTTAAGATATGGGCATCATACAACTGCTACATACTCCAATGTTGGTCTCTAAAATGGTTGTTAACAATTTCTTTATCATTTCTCAACTATGTACCTGGATGGAGTTCTATCCCCAAACCCGGACTGGGGTCAGCTTTGACTTGAGAGTTTAGTCCAACAAGCTGTTGCTTGGAGCAGCCCGCAGATCCTCATATCCACCACAGCCTGGTTGGCCCAGCATGCATTGGCCCAACTCTGAAATTGGAAAGCGTAGCATAGACTATTCGCATGATGTTCTTTATGTGGTCCTCAGATGACAATTTTCTATCAAGAACCACCTCTAGATCTATTTATCAGAATTCTTTAAAGCTATTGCACATAACTTGTAGGTTACATGTGGCTGTTATCTCCTATCCCACATGCCATAACTGGCTGAAACGCTAAGCGTGTTAGTGGCTTTGCAAGAATGTAAGAACACTAATATTATGTAATATCACAACCCAATGTACCTTCTTGAATATGATCAATAAATAAATAAAATAAATAAATAACTAGGCATTTGTTCATTAAAATTAATTTCCCAAGTGTTGCTCCATACATTTATTTTGTCTAGGTCTTCTTGAAGGGCATGGCAATCATATCGTTTATCATCCGTAATAGTTTAGCATCATCAGCAAAGATGTTCATTTAACTCTGTATGCCTTCTGATTGAACCCTGTAATACTCTGCTAGTCACACTTCTCCAGTCGGATTCATTGCCTCTGATTACCGCCCTCATCTTTCTGTCAGAACATTTTTCATCCATATCAACAGTCTCCTTGTCATCCCTCCAGCATGTTCCAATTTAGTGTGTGTGTGTGTGTGTGTGAGAGAGAGTGTGAGAGTGAATGAGTGGGGGAGAGAGAGAGTGAGCAAAACAAGCTGGTAGTGTGCTGTGGCCTCTATCTCTTATTGATTTTGGTGGTGGTGGCGGTTTGGCAAGGGGAGGGGGTGGCATAGGTAGGTGGTAGTGGCATGGTCATGCAGAAATAATGTAGCCACAGAGGCAGGATGTGTGGCCACATCCTGCCATACACAGATAATTTTTATACTTTGATGTTGTTACACTTTTAATGCATCTGATGTGACCACATTTATTAGATTCTTGCCATGGGAACCCAGTAGTTTTAAAGGCTTTGTATATATACAGGTGTATTAATATTTTTGTATAGAGTTTGCTCATCACACAATTACACCAATAAAAAATCCACCCAGACAATATGGGAAGATTTGACCGCCAAAATAGCTCACAGAATGGCCAGCAAGCATGTATACTGGTATTGACTAGGTGATACAGGTAGGGAAGGTAAGTGATAGATTGAATAATTGTCCGATTGATTGTTGAAGATTAAGCCACCCAAGAATTGGCACGGACATGAGTAGCCCATAAAATAATAGTCCGATTGATTGATTGATGAAGAGTGATATTTGCCACCCAAGAGGTGGCAAATAATTGTCCCAACACCTACCTTACTTATAGTAGTCAGCTTTGGAAGACAGGTGACTTCGTAGGCCACTGCTATGTCATCCACAACTGGAGACATTTATCTATCAAGAACAGCCAACTTACCTCACATGGATTTGCAGTCCTTGTGACACGGTGGTAAAACACTCACTCCGTGCTTCACAAACGATTTGGCCTGGGTTCGTATCCTCGCCGTGAAGGATTGACTAGTTGTCATTTCTTAACTGTAGCCTCTGTTCACCCAGCAGTGAATGGGTACCTGGTTGTTAAACGATTTCACGGGTCGTATTCCAGGGAAAACTAGGATTAAGGAACCGCTCGAAACACTGTGTGCTAGTAGGTTTACAAGAATGTAAGAATTTTTGTAAAGTATATATAAATACAATAAACAAAAGTTGATCGAAGACTATAAACAAAAGGTCAAAGTGGTCTTTAACGGTGGCAAGCAGTAACACACTGAAGCATTATTCACAAATAAACGTGAACTCGTTCTTCACATAAAGATGGGGAAAAAAATCACATTGAAAAGTTCAATGTTCGTGAGATTAGCGTATAAATCCAGTCAATCATCCTAAGGTTTCCCAACGTCAAGAAAATGGTCAATATAAAGTGTCCTCTCCTAACCTACCAGAGGACACATAACAGAAAACGGAACAGTACGTTACTTTCGCCTGCCACTTCCATTTTCTAGTGCGAAAATGGAAAGGACTCGGCAGTGCCATAAAGGCACCAGCTGAATATCCACTTTGTGGACACTTCTTACTGCTATTCTTCTTCTTTGTGCTTGCATCTCTTGCATGGTGCTTGCATCTCTTTATTACTGCATTATCCTTCAGTTCCAGTTAATTGAAGCTGTTCTCCTTATCAACAAAACATTCTTCTTTTAAAAAATAAAATCGTCTAAAATCAATTTCTGAAAATATTTTGATGAAAGTTTCACGACCTTGAAGCCAATAAGTTGGTGATTTGTTAAACATTTTTAAGTACTGTAATTTTTACATAATTCAAATATTTTTCACTTCTTGACCCCTATAGTTGTGCCGTTTAAGGGTTAAATATGCCAAAACTAGAAGATAGAAGAAAAAGAGGTGATCACTACATACAAAATAGTAACTGAATTCGACAAAATTGATAGGGAAGAATTCCTGAGATCTGGAACTTCAAGAAGAAGAGGTCTTAGATTCAAACTAGTTAAACAAGGCTGCCGAAGAAATATAAGAAAATTCTCTTTTGTAGACAGTGTGTTAGATGGTTGGAACACGTTAAGTGAGATGGTGGGGGAAGCCTAAACTTCCAGTAGTTTCAAAGCGTTGTTAGATGGGACACCATGAGTGTCGCTCTCATCGTGTAACTACACTTAGGTACTGTAATTACACAGATCTACACCCATTGATACCAGATTATAATGTTGTGTTATAATTATAATGTAACTTTAAGAAAGTTCATTAAATTCCTTTTGCCACTCATGATATTGGTTATATTATACACAGTACCCAGAAACATGGGTTCGATTCCTCCTCACTGCTCTTACTGATTTTCTCGTACAAATTAGTGTTATGGTTGTGAATATCAAGCAGTATTCAAGGCAGGAAAGTTCAAATAATTTGAAAAGATTGAGCATTGTGGTGGCATTTTTATGATAAGCATGTTGTCTAGTCAGTTTCCTGGCTGATGCTACCTGTGTTTTGTTATGCTTATTAAACATTAAGTCATCTTACATCATTATTCCTAGATCCCTTACCTGTCATTTCCATTTCCTACTTTCTTATTGTTACACACATTATAGAATGGGCAACTTTGTCTTTGATATAATAATTTCTGAAGAAAGCACTTTTAACACATGCATTAATTTGTGTTGGCCATGATTGTGAATGGCCATACTATACCTTGAGGCTACCTTGGTGGTGGTGTTAACCCAGACCATTAGGCACTGCTGTTTGCAATCCAACATGAATTACATCTCGGTTGAGCAGGTATCATTTGCAGGTGTTTATCAAGCTGCCTTTTGAATACAGAAAGGTTGGTTAGTTATGCCCCTCGTGTTTAGAGTGAGGGGTGATAAAAAGTCTTGGGCCCCCTAATATTTATATAATTGTTTATTATCATACCCAGTGCACCTCTGCTTTTCAAGGAGGATATTTTACACATTCGGCAATGTCTCCTGGTTTCGTAAGGAATTAAAGTACTGTGCACTATTTCCTTTGGCAAATTTGGAAATAGTCCCTCATACTTTCTAAGTGTAAATTATTATGTGTATCTCTCACTTGTGCGTCAAAGAGTACATTTTGAGATATTTTAGGCAATCCCAACAAATGAGATATTTTATTCAATGGATTCTGGTAGAAAAAATTATGTTCTCCAGATCAGCAACTTTTCCAGGTTTGAATGGGGCTATTTGTGTTTGATGATATTACCCCCTGGTAGCACTAGTATTTTAAAAAGCACCATTCTTTCATCATCTCTTGTTTTAAATAGTATTGTTATCTAGCCTGTCATTTTTCCTGCAGTTGTGGCAGCAACTTTATTGTGTTCTTTAAGAATTCTTGATTAAATAACACAATAAATCTAACCATTATTTTTGTATATTGTGCTACTGCAGTATATATTAATTAATCTCTTAGTGAATGAAGTAATATACTGTATAACATCTCTATTATGTACTTCTAAAAATATTATTTATTTTGTGTAGAAATATATTTTGTTCCATTTGGTGTGGGTACAGGGTACAGTACAGGGTAGTAGTAAACTGTTTTGGACTAAATTAGGCTTGTTTTGAGACTCAAAATGATACTTTGATATTATAATTATGAAAGGCATGGTATAAATTGTAGATGTAACAAAATGTTATTTCACTTCATTCATATTTTATAATTGTACAATTTTTTCCTAGACCCTTTGATTTTTTATTTTGCTTTGTCCACAGGTTGTGCAAGATGGTTGTAGGCGGTTAAATAGCAAGGCCCCTCCAGTGGGCGGCCTTCATATCATCTGCACCTAAACACCACGCCCACTGGCCCTCTCTCACCCACACCAGTCCACCCAAGTGTCTATTTCACTGTAAGTCACTCATGGCCTCCTGCCTTGCCCTCCCCTGAGCAGTTTGTAAATATGCCCCTGGAGAAGTGCTTTCACCTCTGTTATCAAGTCTCATTGTGCCCACACTAGTGATAAGTGGTGTGAAAGGTTCTTTATTATTTAGATAAAAAAATATATGAACATTTGATGGTGTAATAATAGTAGTGATATAGTGTGAGAAAAGAAAAAGAAAAGCCCTATTGAAAAGTGGGCAGGGACCTTGCTGTGAGGTGGCACTTGTTTCAAGTGTATCCCATTGCAGTGTAATGGTGGCATTGCCTTAAGCAGCCATGGGTGTGGGTGCTGGTGCACCAACACATACGTGATGGGTTTACTGAATAGTGTGTGAGCCTGGGCTGGCCTCCCGTAGCGTGGGCGTCAGAGCCCGTGGTGTGGGTGGGCATGGCTCGTCGAGGTGGCGATGCAGCCAAACAAGTGGTGGTGTCTGTGGTGGGTGTATCAGGTGGAGAGAGAGAGAAGGGCGTGACCGGCTTGGGAAAGTCATGTCTTTGCAACCGCTTTACCAAGCCTCAGGCCGATCAGTACTACGTCGACCACATTTCCGTCCTCTCGCAGGTGAGTGTTGCTCCCTTGGTCTTGTTTTGTCCTTGTCTTGAGTATGTATCCTAAATATTATCATGCATAATACAAATTATGTTAATTTATAAAATTTATGTTTTTTTTTTTTAGCAGTTGTGTGTAGTAATAGAAATGAGATGTGCTTATGCATCGGTATTGACCTATACTGTATTTGTGGTACCTTACCTTGTGTTTACCTTGTTGGTTCTGGGGATCAACATCCCCATGGCCTGGTCTCCGACCAGGTCTCCTGGGGCCAGATTCACGAAGCAGTTACGCAGGCACTTACGAACCTGTACCTCTTTTTTCAACCTTTGGCAACTTTATTTACAATTATTAAACAGTTAATGAGTTCCAAAGCACCAGGAGGCTGCTTATAACAATAACAACAGTTCATTTGGAAGTTGTCATGCTTGTAAACTGTTTAATAAATGTAACCAAAGCCGTCGAAGAAGTTACGCAAGTACTTGCGTAACTGCTTCTTGAATCTGGCCCTTGGTCGGTGGTCTGGTCAAACAGTCTGTTTGATTCATCTGCTCATAGTCTAGCAAATGAGTCATAGCCCGATTGATCAGGTATTCTTTGGAAATGGTCATCAAGTTCTCTTTTGAACACCATGAGAGATCAGCTAGTTATGCCTTTTACATTTAGAGCGAGAGTATTGAAAAATCTTGGGCCTTTGATGTTGATAGAATTCCCTCTCAGCATACCTATTGCAACTCTGTTTTTCAACGAAACAATTTTGCACGTCCTGTCATGCCTCCTGGTCTCATTATATCACAGAAACCCATGAAGGGGAATTCTTGGACATTTAGATCTGGATACCAGGACATAATCTATCTTGAGGTTATCTTTAGAGGATTTCAGGACTTAGCATCCCCATGGCCCGGTCCTTGACCATGCCTCCTTTTTGTTACACATCCCCAGGAAGCAGCCCATAGCAGCTGTCTAACTCCCAGGTACTTATTTACTGCTAGGTGAACAGGGGCAGCAGGGTGAAAGAAACTCTGCCCATTTGTTTCCGCCTCCACCGGGGATCAAACCCAGAACCTTAGGACTACGAATTTCGAGCACTGTCCACTCAGTTGTCAGGCCCCAATATACAGGTGTGATAGGGTATATAGGTCACACGGAGGACTGGGTCTGTATATTAGGGAAGACCTTGTTTGCTCGGAGCTCCTAAATGCTACAAATGAAATGGTAGAGGCACTGGGAGTAAAAATAGAGAAAATAAACTTAATTATTCTAATATACAAACTGCCAGATGCACCGGTTGAGGAATTTACAGAACAGATAAAAAAAATAAAGAATAATCTTGATAATTTGGCAAACTCAGTACCTGATATTATCTTCCTAGGTAAATTCAACCTGCCTAGTCTGAGATGGAGAATAGCGAACAATAATATTTTACCAAGAAGTCTATCTGGACATAACCAACCACATATTAGAGAATTACCAAGAATCTGTGACAAATTTTCACTCAACCAGCAGATACGAGCTGTAACTAGGAATGAAAATATTCTAGAAGAATCTACAAAAAGAAGAAAAACAAATACTGTAACTGAAATGCTTAAGCAGACACGACTTTCCATACAAAGCAGGAATAATTTAAACAGGGAGATTGAAGAAATTGAGCAGAGTCTAAAGCATTCATATCAAATTGAAGAAAGGCAACTAGAACAGAAAGCAATTCAAGAATAAAAAAAAAATTCTTCACATATGCAAAATCAAAAGCAAAAACCACTGCTAGTTTTGGACCTATTCGTATGTGTGAAGGTTCATACACTGAGAATGACAATGAAATTATTGAAATCCTTAAGAAAAGCAGTATGAGGATATGTCAACACTTCGATAAACAGCATGAAAGTTGAAGATCCGAACAAATTCTTTATGCATGATATCCAAACTGCTGTAAATTTAACTAATATCAACACGAGCATGGCAGATTTTGAAGCAGAAATTGACGACATCCCCATGCACTCAGCCTTGTATCCAGACTCGTTTAACTCAATATTAATAAAGAAATGCAAAGTGCTAGCAGCACAGGCACTCAGTATAGTGTGGAGGAAGAGCTTGGACACAGGGGAGATACCAGATGCACTTAAATCAGCAGACATAGCCCCTCTACACAACGGAGGGAGCAAAGCATTGGGAAAGAATTATAGACCAGTTACACTAGTAGTAGGCATCCATTAGTCTCGGGAGACTATGGAGTTGCACTCTAGTTGTCGGTCTGGAGTGCTGCTTCAGACCTTACTTTTTTAGGCATTGAGTACTGCTCTCCAGGGTGCAAAGTCAGGGTAGGTTGATACGGGGAAGAAGCTGTCACCCATGCAGCAGGTCTCCCCATCTCCACGGCGCCGAAAGTCTGAAATGGAAAAGCAAACGCCAATACGATTGGTTCCAGCGCCATCACAGGAACCATCAGAACAAGGTTGAAGGCAACAACAGACTGCCCTAGGGACTCCAGCTCCGGAGTTTACCTTGAAGTTGGTAAAAGAAGGCTCAGTGACTCCAAACCCGGAGACTGCCATGGTCGGGGCCGAAGAACCACCACCCCACCAAGGGCAAGAATGACCCCAGTCTCCTGAAGCAGAGCTTGGGCTGCACGAACCCCAGGAAGTGGACGACCGAGTCCCGCACCTACAGGTTCCAGACAGATTGTCAGAGTACCCTTTCACCCGAGGCCGGCTTCTTTCATGACCCAGCAGAAGGAAGAGTAATAATAATTAATTAATTGTATTATTATTATAATACTAATTGTAATAATAATTGTTGTAATTAATAATTATTACTCTTCTTCTGCTGGGTCATGAAGGAAGCCGGCCTTGGGTGAAAGGGGACTGTGACAATCTTTAGATGTCTGAAAACGTAACATTTAGGGAGCATAACCAAGTAAATATTACATCATCCAGAAAAATTGTAGGATGAATTACGAGAATTTTTGAATCTAGGGATCCCATCACAGAGGTTGTACCATTTAAATCATTTGTTCTGTCCTGTCTTGAACACTATTCAGTACTCACTTCCTCCTTCAGAGCAGGAGAGATTGCTGAAATAGAGGAGGAATAGAGAACATATACGGCATACATAGACGTGATAAAGCACCTAAATTATTGGGATTGTCTCAGAGCTCTCCAAATATACTCGCTAAAAAGGAGACGAGATAGATATTAAATAATATACACATGGAAAATACTGGAGGGCCAGGTCCCAAATCTTCACAGTAAAATAACAACATACTGCAGTGAACAATATGAAAGAAAATGCAAAATACAACTAGTGAAGAGCAGGGGTGCCATAAGCACAATCGGAGATCACTGTATAAATATCAGAGGTCCATGGATGTTCAACATTCTCCCAGTGAGTATAAGAAATATTGCCGGAACAACTATGGACATCTTCAATAGAAAACTAGATAATTTTCTTCAAAAAGTACCGGACTAACCGGGCTGTGGTAGATATGTGGGCCTGCGGGCCACTCCAAGCAACAGCCTGTTAGACCAAGCTCTCATAGGTCAAACCTGGCCTCGGGGAATAGAAGAACTCCCAGAACCCCATCAAGCAGGTATCATGTGGAGTATCCACATGATACTTCATGTGGAGTATCCTTCACATTTATCATGTGAAGGAAGTCCCTTGTGGCTCCCTGAAGCTACTGTAGCAAGTATATTATGTCAGTAATATACTTGCTCCATATTCTCATTAGCATATGTGCAGATAATGTGATGGGTTTGTTAATTCTACTTAGTCCACTAATTAGTTAATACTTCTTCCCAAGTGTACAGCTAATACCTCTTCCCAAATGTACAGTTAATACCTCTTCCCAAACCTGCTAGAGAATGTTCAGGTGAGGTGTGGACTGGTAATACAAGCAGTCAAAAGCTAATCATCAGGGTTTACGGACTATTCATGCCCATGCCACCACTTGGGTGGCTTAATCTTTATCAATCATCAGGGTCTCCTGAAATAGCTTCAACCACCAATCCACGACACCTGAGCCTACCTAAGGCAGCAAGGCGAAAGACAAAAACACCAACTACAGAGGTTACGGACTCCTTAGATGAGGAAATCTTATTAGGAGTTCCACTGCCGCACCACAAATACGACACCTACTCGGTACAAGACCTCGTGGAGGCCACCTCACCAAATTCCAACGACAGCACGGCTCACCCAAAGTCTAGGGCAAAGAAAAAACAGAAGACATAGAGGTCTACACTAACCCCACCAGTTCCATAACTGGTACAGCCAGCCCTCCTAGGCTGAAATCCACCACGAAGGCCCCCATCCATTCGCAGATCTCTAGTATCAGCTATTAATACAGATAATGGCTCCAAAGACCCTCCACTTATGGGCTCACCATAGCCCGTGCTACTTGGAACTTTTAGTTCTGAGTGGCTGAATCTAAAACAACAACAATCATCAGGAGTCTAGCTCCAACAGTGGTTCAGACGTTTGAGATACAGCACATCTTCAACATTCACCAAGAACAATGTAACACTCGATGTGTTCAGTTTCTACCCTCACAAGACACTTCAGCCTTCGACACAGAGCAGACAGCCAGACTCCGGCCGCATCGAGCTTCCACTCTCGTCCCACACTCGAGCTCCTCGACTCCTGCATTCAGAGCACCAGGCTCAACACACCCCGCATCTGAGCTCTCTACCCCCGGCCTCATTCAACTCTCTGCACTGCTCCAGGCTTCAACTCAACTACTACAACACTTCACTACACTGCCAAGAAACCGACTGCTGTAACCAACCAAGACTACTAAATATATATGAAAACCACTAAACTGTGTCTTAATCAACTAAATATGTATATGTAAACATAGATTACACTACTATCTCTGATAATGTGCCAAACTACTAGGTGCCATCAGTTGGGGAGTTCTTTTTAGGCCTACCAAGCCTGGCCTCGGGTCAGGCTTTGGGAGTAGAAGAACTCTCAGAACCCCATCAAGCAGGTACCAGGGACCATGAGCCAGACCTGGCCCC